AAGATGAAATACTCATGTAAATAAATTGTGCTGAGTTCCAGAGGAGACTGAAGTACAAAGGAATTGGCAGAAGAAATGGAAGGGGAGAGACACAGAATATAATTATGGGACTTTACAGGATAAAGCTGTAGAGGAAAAAAATATCAATCTATGTATGAAAGCCAAAGTACATCACAGGACAGCAGATCCACAACAAGCGTAAATTGCTACAGAAATAAACTATGACATTTATATCAGCTGTAATCAGTAGCTCCACTGAGCCGTGCAAGTCTATGATTTCATTCTTATTACTTCATATCTTTACTTCTTTAGAAAAATACACATTATTCATTTCATGACATAATAAAGCAGAGGTTCAACTCAGATAAATATGCATCTAACTCCATCAACTATAATTCTTTACATTAACAGTAAATCTGGCTCAATGCCTTTTAGTCGTAACATTCTTTACAAAACATCTAAACCTTCCAGAGAAGTTTTATATTCTTGTGATTGATTCTGGTTTCAAAAAAAAAAAAAAAAAAAAAAAAAAAAAAAGGCAACAAACTGTGCTCTGATGACTTAATTTCAGGCAATGATATTCAGAAAACTCAGTATCTTTAAAGTAACATGTCAGCCTTGATGTCAATAAATACAGTGTACATCTAAAGAAGAGTAGAAGAATAAGACCTCTCGAGGGAAAAAGAATTTCTAGAGTCCTGTAACGTAGGGAGACCTGCTCTATAAAAGGAGATATTCATTGCATATATCTTCAAAATAAAAACCTTTCAAGACAAGAATTCATACATGCACTTTAAAGGAGATGCTCTTCTCAGCACTACCGCAGGAGGAGGCTTAGGGGGACAACTCTTTATTCTAAAGTCTTCCACACTGATATTTTCAAGAACAGAATATTAACCTCTTACTGTTAAGCTAATCATCCAAAGCACATTGAAACAAATCACAAGCTTCAAAAAATGTGTACAGGATTGTTATAAACTTGCTATCCTGTACAGCAAAAAATCAGATGATATTCCATGACCTTAGTACTCAAATAGTATATTTGCAGTGAAAATTGTGCTAATGCTGACACATATGCTATCCTGATTATACATACCGAGGAAGTGGCTGGAAGTGATCATAGGGCATGATTTCTTTAAATCCATCACTGTCAACAAAATAAATATTGCATCATTATTTCTTATACCCAAGACTGTACATCAAGTACATACTTTTACGTGATCATGCTTAAAGTAAGCAATTCCCAACGTGAAATGAGGGAATCTTACATTCATTATACATTACCCTTGTGGCAAACAATGACTCGTATAATCTTACCTCTTCTGCATGGATAGAGATCTATTCAGCATATAGTTTCTCCACTTCATACCATCAAAAAATATTAAATGAGCAAGCCTTTGGCAGAGAAGTTTATTATCAGTGATCCTTTAGGTCTGTGCTACTTTATTAACAAGAAAATAGTTACATACTTATATCTATAAGAAAGACTGCTTTGGAACATGAGTGGCAGTGAAATAAATGCATCACAGGATTAATCCCAGCTAGGTTCTGAATAGTGCCTAGGACCCTTCTAGAGCTGTTTATTTGAACTGCACAGCATAGAGCAGGCACAGAGCCTTACTTCCAACACTAAGAAATATGGTATTATATCCAGTAGTACTTCCCTTTTCTGTCTGTATAAGCTAAAATTGCAAGGAAAAAGATAATTATGCTCTTTCTTTACTTTCCCTAATTTTCCCATTCCAGCTTTGTAACATTTGGCACCCATTGCCATTAAGCATTACTGAAGTCTTACCACTCCATATAGTGGTCAACTCTCCAGGAAAAAAAACTTGAAAGTCTGCATATCTATAACAGTTAGAGGTTACTATCAACGATTATGTTCAACAGGAATGAAAGGAAATGGACAGTTTAGCTATAGGAAATGAAATCCATTGAGAGTGTTTCCTTTTCTTCTTGCATATAACTCTAGCTCGGCCAGCTGGCATATTAATGAGAGGTTCTGGGACTTGATACTGTGATGTTATTTTAAGATTCTTTAGCACAGCCAGGAAACCTCACCAGACAATCCAAAAGTTAATTTGAAATACTCTAGTGCAATTCAATACAATTTATGTATACGATAGCCTTTATAATTTGGCAATAATATTCTGTGGTATTTGTGCCGCAAGTATATTTACTTCAAATGATTTTTTTTTTTAATTCCTAGTGTAAAACAACCCCCCCAAACTTTAATAATTAAGTGTCAACACCACAGTACAAATGAAGAATGAAACTTTTACGGTAGGCGGATGAATAAACCAAGTTAAACCACGTGCAAAACTTGTACGCTGACGGAGAACTGGAGCTACTGTCTGTCTAATGAGAAATCCTGAACAGCAGCATCAATAAATCCAATAGCAGGAAAACAATCTGTCCTCCTCACACAATGTCACAAAATCCTTGTACTAGTGCTGTACCACTCAGCCAAAGACATAAAGTAGAATTAGCCCTTGAACAGACAAATTGATATTTACAATATCTCTGTATAAAGCAAAGTCTCCTATTCTGCAACACTGAAGAAGTGCCACAAATCTATTGGCAGTGGTGCCAGACATCAGCCTTTAACACGTGCAATAATCAACCGAGATTAAGTAGCCTGAAAGATGAAAAGAACTGAAATTAAGTAAATACAATTGCTTGTTCCTTAGTAACTGACTATACCACACACTTAAATTTATTTGTCATACAAACCTAGAAGGGCAGGGATCCATGTTGCATTCTTTTAGCTTGGGCTTTGGTTTCTTATTTTCTGGATAGTAATGACAATAGTGGTCAGGAACAACACGCTTCAGACGAATATCCACACATTCAGCTGAATTAAGCTGATAACCTAATGCAGAAGCAAAGTTAAATTTTGGTAATGGAGATAAGTTAAAGCATTCTTATCCCCCCCCCCCCCCCCAAATGAATTTCCTGTGTTACTCTTTGGTTTGCTTTTAAACAAGGAAACACTGCACAGGAACATGCAGGACCACATCTTCATTTCAGGCAATTCAACATAACAATTATGTTAACCTATCTTAACACTAGATGAGACTCTGGCACATTATTCTAGTAATATTCTAAGTATAAGAGTAAAAGCGTACATATTTTTATGTGATGCAGGAATACAAGTACTGGAGCAGCTCACCTGTCACAGAGGCAACTCCACAAAGTCATATGGTTCTACTACATGTTCCACAATTTATAACTGCCTTCCCCCAAGGAAGAGTTACCATCTATGTTAGAGAGGTATATTACACAGTCATGCATGCTAAAACAATAAATACTTAGAACAGAAAGCCAGAGGAATTGAAGATGAGATCCAAAAACATTGGTAAGTTAAACTGTAGAAAACCAAGAAACAGTTTCAAGAACATTCCTAGTTGAAGAGCCAACAAAAGAAAACTTGAAGTAACTACCTGGTGAAAAAAAAAAAAAATTCTGTGTGGAGACTGGTTACAATAAGGGATTTGAGTTTTATAAACCACTAGGTTGCTTTTTTGGCTAAGAAAAAAAAAGACTCATTCAAAAGAGCTGACTTGGACTTAAACTGAGGAGAGGAGGAGGATGTTCTGGTATGTGCAAAGAAAAAAGTTTGAAACCACAAGAATTAAAATCCAAACAGAGTCAATAAACTAACAGCACAAGTCTCAGTGTCTACTGAAAATGTTAAGTATCATATATCAGTGGCCTCACTTGTGTGTCTCTTGGCTGATTCAAAGTGTCATCATGCATGAGAGTGATAACCATAAAGAAGAAATAAGCAGCTACAGTGCTCTAAGCATGTATGCTCCAGGTCTTGTAAGTACTGAAAGGACCCAGGAGATAGGCCACTTGTAAGCAAGATAAACATAATTTTTAAACATTCTTGCTCATTCAAGCTTGACTGTGCTTTCTGAGATGCCCGTCACACTCCCACTTCCCACACATGGAGATTACAGAATTAAATGTAGAAGCATCCAATTGAGGAATGGTGGTGCACTGATTCCAAGTCTCTGTTGTGAGGAACTTTTTCTTTTACTGCCAGTAAAAGATGCCAAACAGACAATCTGGATACTAAATCCACTTTAAGATAGCAGGTTAAAGCCAGGCAGCTGCATGCCTCAGTAACATGCCATTCTTAATGCTACTACTTTCATGGGTAAGCAAGTAGCTTAGTTCCTGTGCTTCTTCAGTTACTGGCCTCTCTCAGGACTGCCATCAAGAGTGTCAAGCCCTGTTGATAAAGGTACCAGTTTCATATTACAGACATGCAGCTACAAAGTAGGGCATTGAAAACCCTGGATAATTTCAAAGAGATTGACATGTAGCCATAATTTTCAAACCCTAACACCAGCCTGAATAAGGCTGGATTTGAGCCAACAACTTTGAAGGTAAATATGTCCCTTGAGTTACCCAGTGTTTACATGTAGACCTCAAAAATAACTGTGATGCTTTACACTTCTTCCCTTGTTGGATAGGTTAAGGAAAAATTCATAAACACAGTGTGATGGAATCATAAGAGGATATGTATTGCCACTCACAGTTCCAGCAAGAATCACACTTCATGAGGCCAAGTATCTTATAAGATACAGTAGTTTCCTGTGGGACTACATATTGCACACGTATATTGTCTGCATTTCAGATTAAAGTGAGGTGCAAGTGCCAAAATGGATGGTCCATCAAAAGATCCCTAGACTCTGCTTGTGCTTTAAACATCTTTCACTCTTTTTATTCATGTCCCAAGTAACTATTTAAACCATATTTATACTCTCCAAGAAAATCACTACACCAGTATCGCTAGTATCCCAGTCTGTTTTTCAGGTGACCTGGGTAATGCTAGCTGAACTGAAATAGCTATCTACAATGTTGAACACTCCTCCTGCCATGAGGTCATGCTTTTTGCACAACCAGACATGACAAGCAGCGGGCTGGGTTGGATGAGCAGTAGCAGAGCTGAGCTGCACTTCGTCTAACCATTGTATAAGCTGTAGTGTTTAAACCAGGAATAGACACTACAGCACACTGCCTGCTGCTCTAACTACCATCAGGACTAAGTGTCTAAGATCAGACAGCCAAAGGTATTGATAGTAGCTGTTCTTTAAATTCCATTTACTTATTCTGCTTTCTGTGTAACTAATTGCTAAACTAAGTGTTCGAAACCTCTCCCTCATGTCTACTACTGTGGCCAGAAATACCGTCTTCCTTCATCTCTTGATTATCCTTATTTTAAAATCTCATTGTATGTCTTTGCTTACTTTTCCAAAATATCCTTTATAAATTGTCATTTTCCACTTTGAATGTCATATCTTTATTTCTTATTCGAAGTTCTTACTCAAAAAAATCATTCCTTATGGAAGAACAGGACTTCCAGTAATATAAGGTATTAAAAAAAAAAAAACAAAACTATGCTCATACTACCTTAATCAACCAAATTACCTGCTATTCTGTCATTTATTCTTCTGAAGACCCACCAGTGTGCAAAGAAACACAAACACTTAATCAATAAAAATGCAGAACGAAGGTTGTAAATCAGCCACTCTTAATCTTCAGCTGTAAAGACTCCTGAAGAATTGCCATTACTTACCTCCTCCACACGTCACTGTGCAGGGGAAGAACTCTGTTTGTCTCCACTGATGACTGATGGGTTGATAGAAAAAGAACTGAACCACGCTCTCTTTTGATCCAGAGTACCTGGTCTGAAGAAATTTCCATTACAACACATGTGTATACTGTACTCCACTGTTCATGTCATTTCAAAACATAATTCATATGTAATAGCAGTGCAGAGAGTAATATGATAACAGGCATAAAACCTCTAGAAAGTCTAGAGTAACAATTAAATTTAAAGTTTCCAATAGTCAAACACTTGTATGTTGCTTTGTTTTTCAAATTATTCAAGGTACGAATGTGACTATTTGATTATCTATCCTTAATTGGCAAAGTTTCTAACTGTGTTCTTCTGTCTTATCTCTTTGTTAGCAAAATTTTTAAAATTTGCTGGAGAGGGAAGTCCAGAACTGATCTAAGCACACTGGTTCATATTCAGGCAAGTCTAACTGCACATGTGATATCGGAGATGCAAAATAAACACTACTGAAAGTCTGTTTCTACGACTTGACAGATAAAGCCAAGTGGTGTGACAGTACTGAAACACCTGTCATTTCCGATGGAAAACTGTATTATTATCTTCCTTTGGCAGTCAAATATTGATATGTTTCTACATATACATATCTGTATGTATGATGCAAGCCATCGGTATGTGGTCTGGGTAGAAGAGAAATTTAAAACGATTAGAAATGGTCAGCAGCTGGATTAGCAGTGTCTAAGGGAGATTCTAGGGTGCTGCTGGAAGCAATGCTCAGATTCAGTAGGTGGCAGTCTTCAGTTGGATTAACACCAATCCACGGCACAAGATCACGCTGTTATTCTTTCAGTAACATTTAAAGCAAAAGTTCTAGCCATTTTTACTATTAAAGATCCTGTGGTACTTTCCACTACAGCAAAGAGATTAACCTTGTAACATTTTAATTCGTTTGGATATACTTAGTATCAATTATCTCTGGAATGTAATTAGGATTCCTTATTTGCTAGCTAAAAGGTTTTGTTGTATTGCTACAACCTGATGGACAGCGACCTACTCTGTTGCACATACTTGCAATATCTTTGAAGATTTGCACATACACATATCCCACCTTGATAATGAAATCTGCTCCAAGAGGTCCCTGGATCTTTATGATTTCCCTGTCTGTACTCTTCTGAAATTCAACAGTTGTATTTTCTATGACAAATGTTCCAGGAGCATTGAAACTGTGCTCTCCCTTGTCTCCTTGTAGTGTCTTTGACTCTATAACTAAAGAAACATGCAATTAGTAAACTTAAACAGGATATGTTTTATTTTGAAGGAAGTCAGAAAGTAACGTTTATAACTTTGCCTTGCAAGTAACAGCCGTATATGTGCATTAAAAAACCACACAGAATAGCTGTGAGACTATTAGCTGCTTCAGATTATAGGCTGATATATAATTGCATGACATGTCAGCACAGGAATATCTGCTTGAACACACTATTCTTTCATACCAGAAGCACTTCTGAGACAGTTTTTCCTACACCAAGTGCTCTATGTAGTTATAGAGCAATAGATTCAGCGGGACAAGCTGAAAGAAACTCAAAACAGAGAGAATCAATACACAGAAAAATAACTCGTACTTCCATGCAACTCAAAAGCCTAGAAATTTCAGCAATCAGTCTCCAGAGAAGCCTGAACAGTGTCAAACTCACCAAACACTCACCTCAATACCTGTATCACTCTACCCATTCCGGAGGTCATTAACTCAACTTTGAATATTTCCCATATGAGCAAAAAGCAGGGCCAGGAGGTGGGTAGCTGCAGCACTGCCGGAGGGATGTCCCTTTCCCAGAACAGGTGGTGATGAAAACCCTTTTTGAGCTGTTCTGCATTCCTTGGAAACAGATTAAACTAACAGCCCACAACCTCCAGAAGACAGATGAAGCATTTTAGGATTGAGTCACTTCCAGCAAACTGACTGAACTATAAAACTATAAGTGGACAAAGCTAAAGGAAGATATTAACGATGAAGGTAGAATTTTGGGCTCTGCATAATACAGCGTATAGGCACAGCGAGATGCATGACGTGAAATACACTGGTCTGGTTACAATCTATCAGAGCACTGCATGAAAAAGGCATGAATCTCAGACAAGCTCAAGGCTAGCTAAAAAGAACCTTTTGATGAGCTATAAATACCCTCTTTCTTCAACTACCTTGCCTTTTTTTTGTACTTTAAAGAGAGTTACCTAATTCATGCTAGATAATTTAGGTTAACAGCATCTGTTTTTACCTGCACTGAAAACATACTCTGAATGCTGCAGCCCATCATTACCGTTTTCTTCCTTAAGATCTTGTAAAATGCAAATGCACTTGGGAGCATCCCCAACGAAGAGAGTGAAGAAATTCTAGAAGAAATTAACTTCCTTGAGAAGGTACCAACGTTATCCCAAGTTTCTAAGCATTAGGTTCCACTATGCTCATAGGTATAACAAAGATCACATACATGGCTGGAAGGAAGTTTAAGGACAGATATGGTTCTAGGAAATGACTTTAAGTTGATCATAGGGTAGGAATCTAGTTGTGAATCAAATGTACTTTGTCAAAGAGAAAAAAATAAATCTCTGGGAATCCACGTGCCCCATTGTCCAACGTGTTTCCATTAGGAACAAATAGATATAAACAAACCACAGAAAAAGCAACAAGTATTTAGACAATTACTACATATTTTTGTTTGTTACTTTCATGGAAGTTTTCTTTCCTGATTACATTACAAAATAACCTTTTAAATGTCCAGCACTCGGCATAAAAGCATTCTTGGATTAATCTTCTGCAAGCCTTGACCCCAAACTTACACTGCTTAATGGTAAATATTAATGCATGGTGCCTGTTATTCTGTTATTTTGTTGAATAGAAGTCAAATCAGCAAATCATAAGTACTTCCAACTCCACATAGTCAGTAGGAACCTCAGGAGTACAGGACCCCTTTGAAACTAGCGTTTAAGATTGCAAAGCAAGACATCTGGCTGTGGCAAAAAGATGTTAAAGTTGTTAATTCGGTGACCTGAGCTGCATTACCTTACAGTCTTTATGCTAATTTTCTTAATAAAAAAATATTTTTTATGTTTTTCTAAGCACAAACCAAGGATATTGTTCAGCAACCAACATGATAACTCATTGAGAGCCGACACACATTTATGTTAGAGCTACACTAGATTTGAATGCAAAGCATGTGTTTATTTGCAAGGTTCAGCTATAGAGTGATGGCCTGTATCCCTGGAGGTCATGTCAGTGAAGCTTAGAACAGCTGCTCAGATTTTCCAAGAATTGTGTCACACAGGTAGATGAAAAGCTATTCCACAGCACAATGGATAACCTCTGATGCAATGTATTCCTGCTCAGTAGCATCTAGTGCTTGTCATCACAAGCTTTTAAAACAGAGTGGAACCAAGCATCTAGTGTATGTAACACATACGTAACATAATACTTCTTATTAGGGAGCAGTTCCCCCAAAAAAGACCTACTTTATTGATTTCAGAGCAGTAACTGGGAACAAAGGTTTCACAAACTGGCTTATAGGCAAGGTTTACAAAAGAATTCACCGAACATTTATTTGTTCTGCAGGGTCCTGTAATCCTGGAGAGGCGGGAAGTTTGACTTCAGGAGCAAGCTTCCCCATCCTAAGTTAGGGAAACATTTCCTTGAGGGGTCTTTAGGACTCCAGATGTGCAGAGTCATAAGGACAGGGAATCCTCTCGAGTGCTTTCCTGTTTCTGTGCCTAACAAGATAATCACCAGTGCCAAAGACCTATAACTGTCTGTCTTTGTGTTACTTCCCTTACCTTGATAAAAAGAACGTTTTCCCCATGGAAATGCCTTGCCCAGCTGTGGATGGAAGACCCACCGCAAAAGCCTCCCATACTCTTAGTGGCAGGCAGGAGTAGGGCAGCGTGGCAGGGGGAACCCACTGCAGGTACCTCACTGTGTAGAGAGATGCATGGAAGAATTCCCAGGGAAATAGCTTCTGCTCCCACTGCAAGAAGCAGCAAATGATGTTGCTACCCGAAAGCTCTTCCTTTTCCACGCGATTCATTTGTAGATAGCACAATACAGGGGCCCAAAATAAAACATGCGTTCTTTTCAAAATGCAAGCAACATTGTCTTCCTCTGAGCATCTGTCAGAAGACAAAGCAGCGCATAGATGCACAGCTATCCGCTGTCAAGGACTGCAAATCACCGCAAGCGGAGAAGAAATTGACAAAAAGGGAAAAAAGAGTTTCAGTTCCTTTTAGTGAAGTTTAACCTCCCTAGGCTCCTGAACTCAGTTATCTCGCATTAGCCACTTGTGAAAATATTAGCTTCCGGTTTTCCTGTTTCTTCTGCTGGAGGATTAATTTCAGGGAACTTTCAGTCTTTCTTTTGATTCTAATGCTCTTAAAACAACTGCGAGAAAAGCCATAATATAGTCCAAATCAAAAACAAAACGAATACAATGAAACATTTTATTCATAACCATTTTTGTACTAATTATTTGGTTATTTTCCACCAAATCATTCACAAAAAACAAGCAGACAGAAATACAAGAGGGACCTATATGTAAAAATCCCTAAGTAACACCTTTGCTCTCTGATGAATCTGTTGCCTGTCTTAAAGTGTCCATACACACAAACAAAATACTTATTCTTACCAGCTACAAAGAAATGTAGTCTTTCCTAAAGCACTAAGCTGCTGACTGTAAAACAATGTTCAGAGCATTTATTTGTTTCAAATCTGTTATGTGCTACATCTCCAACCACATTTCCATTTTTGATTAATCCAGCAGCTGTGTTTCCCTGGAACAAGAGCAGCTCATAAAGCCCAGGATGAAGCACAAAAGAACACAAGATAAAGGGAAAAGTGCCAAACACTCCATAGTGCTCTTCAAGCATTCGCTAATGCTCCTGACTTTACTCGAAGAGCAAATATATACTGGGAACAGGAGGCAGTATAAAATTCTACAATCAGTAGTCCCTGCTCCACCTGTTAAATTCAACTCCCTACCAGCCAGGAAGAACGTCTCTGACAAATGGAGCCTGTAATTATAGGTAACTATTTTTTAAATTCTGCCTTTAATTATACTAGCACACCCACACAGAAGTTAATGAAGTTGCAGACTAAAGATCACTTGATATTTTCTGTTAAGTGACAAACACCCAAAAACATACATACATACAGTCAGAAAGGTGGACAAGCAAATTGTCCCAAAGCACATCCCCTAGAACATCAGTTCTTGAAGATCTGGCTATGAAGCCAGAAGCAATTTCCATCTCCCTCCCCACAACAGCTCTCACTTGTTTTTCACCTCTGTCATTTTCATTTCAACAAATTTCTAAATCTTCACAGATTTGCAAGCAGATGTGCTGGGGGAAGTGGATAAAGGAACATTTCATCATTCTCGCCCAGCTAGAGAACTAGCTAACAAAGGTAATGCCAAGCCACAGCTTCTTTACAGAACCACCCTGGGTAGGAAACCAGGAGCACTCTGTACTTAGTTACTGAGCTGCTGCTGCATTCCTCAGGCGCTTTCCAGAAATCCCCCAGGAGCCACTGAATCTGGTACTTTTTCCTCATACGAAGCTGAAACAACAACTTCCTTCTGCAGAACTACTTAAGAAAGACCAAAAGTCCTGACCTGAACTGGTCAGGATCACTCCTTCATACATCCCTTGCTACAGTTTTACATGAATATTATTTATTTCAAGATCAGTTCAGGTTTGTACGTTGTTGATATCAGTGTTATATCTAGAAGCTATTGTTGCTCTGGAGCTGTTCTAAAGTGGAAGTCGTATTCAATTTTTTCTTTGAAAGAAAATGACAATATATTCCTCAAAGCAAACAAAGAGATGAGCAATTTTCAAATAAAATGCATTTCTATCTTCTGTTTACATAGAGCAGAAATCCTTTTTATTTCTATGATTCAGATTGTCTTCCACTTTTACTAATAAAAAAATTGCTCAAAATGTTAAATGAATGGTTTATTTCATTGCTTGGTATGGCAGTCCCACTCATCATTGAAACAATTAGTTCTTTATGTAAAGTAGGCCTATGGGTAAAGAAATTACCATCGATACTACCATCAGCCTTATAGGAAACAAAGGTCTAACAGAATAGCAACCTGTTTCTCATAGATGGTATGTAATGACCAAAATTATTACAAGGAAAGAGGACTTCTGTAGTTTATTTTATGTATTTTATTTACCTTACCTCATTTTTACCTAGATTACTTTTCCTTGAACACTGCTCACTGATCAAGTGCGACTTCAACTGGATTATTTACACTATCTCAGACTCTTCAACAGGAATCTGGTGGTGGGTTATAGGAGTGCTGTCAATCTCACACATAACCCTTCGAAAGCAATTTTGACGTAATTGTTTGCATGTAGTTTAAGAGTGTACCGCATTTTAGACAGCTTATATAAGAATTACTTGGCTGACATAAATTTAGAAACCACCAGTATGTATACGGTTTCTTTTTACTAAGCCAACTTCCAGTGTTCTCTAGGGCTATCTCCAGGCTGGATATTAAAGATGGGAAGAGGAATCAAGATCATGATCTTACCCACATTCCCAAAGCTTGGATAAGTTCAGATACAAGGTTCTGTTTTTATCTTCTGCCTATGAATAAATACATAAAATAGCTCAGTCATACCAAGGTGTGCTGGTCCTTTTAGGGTAATTCTCACACTGCGACTCCCATGTGGTACAGCAATCACGGTTTCTTCCCCTAGGAAAATTAAAGAGCTATTTTAGAAGTTATCTTGCATGAGGGAATTTGCACATCACATAACTAGACTGAAAACTGTCAAATGTGTCTAAGAAAATATGTAACAGGTTTCACAATTTTTCTATTAAAAACAATCATATGTTATTTTATTAAGTACAGTATATTGAGTCTGTTTGCCATGCTATGCAACTATTAAGACCTATGAATGGACTTGTAAATCTTTCTTGCTATTGGAAAATTATTTGCTATTAACAAAACCAACTGAAATGTCAGTAGTGTATTAGGAACATATTTACACTCTGTTGTCCTAGTTTTATTTCCTAATCACTGAATTGACATAAGGAATCTGCTAAGCAGTACTTCCCCCCTTACAAATATCTGCAGCTGTTCAGTCTCATTTTGCCCACACCTCATTTCCTGCTGCAGGTCACAACTTTAATAAGTGGCAGGAGTTACAGGAAATAAATCATCTACTTAACACTAACCCTTAACCAATTACAGACCAGTTAAGAGCAAATATATATTAGATATAATGTATATGTTATAACGGAGTGTCTGCATCTACCTTACCATATAAGATCATTCCTTCCAGTAAGAGCCTCAATTTAAAATTAACTATAAACCAAACCAGCCCTGAATAGGACACGTCAATACAAAACAGCTTTTGGCTGCCTGAATGTCCTCTTCATATATAAATGTACAACACACTTACTTCAGTGCATTTTACAAAGGCAGAAAGTTATTACTTTCCATTTCAACTGTAGGAAATCTGTGATTTGCCCAAGCAAACTGAGTTAACAGTCAAATCAACAGACGAGAGTCTTTCATGCCAACAAGAGCAGTGCTCTCAGAAAAGGGTACGCACAGTGCATAACAGGGATGTCCACAAAAGGATGAGAAGTGCCCAAGCAACAAAGTACCAACCTGCAACCCGTTTCCATCATGGCCCAACTGCAAATCTTTGAGGCAGCACCTGCAAACACGGGCCCTTTGCAGGTACGCCCCGCAGAGGGTGCTCTGTTCAGTGATGGCATTAACATGTATCTAGGGGCTGGTGTAGAGGAAGCTCATTTTCACAGACTCAAAAAGTAATGTGAGTTGAAGGTCAGTGATACATTGGCTCCAGAATTACTCATACAATATTTAGAGGAAGAATAGTTCAGTTTTAACTAAAGAACAGTTGAAGAATCTTTCTTTCCACTTTAAACCGGACCATTTTATAGTAGATGCTAAATTATCAGCTTCTGGTTTACATCTCCTTAACATAAATATGAAATCCTGCCAAATGTTCAGGATACTTCAAGCAAATACTGCAATTATTTTTTCTGAAATAAACACCTTCTTATGTTACAGTTTTTATACCATGAATTTCTAGGAAGGTCATTTAAATATAACAATTTATTTTGGATGTAATAAAATATGATCTTTATTAATTTCATACTTGGGTATTCCACCAGAGTGCAAAATACTACAGTAAGAACAATAATACAGTTAAGGAGCCCTGGAAAAAACATTAACTACTGAATCACTTAATATCTTTTTGCATCTTGGTTTTTCATCAGGAGAATTGCTAAAGATAGCCAGAAGGTAGTGGATGTGTATATCTTTAAAGTAAGGAAATAACTACTGAATTCATATGTGCTCTACAGTATTTGAGAGAAAGCAGGTTTGAGGGGCCCATCTGTCCCTACTTGGTCAGGAATCGTATCCTGTCTTGACAACCAACCAGCATTTACAGCATAAAACCCCAAATAAAAGTCTGATTATGACCAGTTCTGAACACACGCAACTGCTGTTTTGAAGTGGAACCAAGGGCACTCCGCGCTGAACGGACGAGGCCCAGATTTGCAGATGTGCAGAGATGTGTAGGACTGCTCCTCTTGAGAACAACCAGGGTCTTTCTGCTGGGCTTCCTCCGCCTCCTTACAGCAAGCTCCGCTCGCCTCAGCAGGCCTTGTTGATCCCTTTTCAGGATGCTTCACATTCCTTCAGCAGTACTACAGACATTCCACCCTCACCGAAGCACTCTCTGATAGGGTCCAAAAGTCTCATGGGGGTGCTAAATTTGGTGTTTCTCTGCGGCGGAGACAATATTACCAGAAGGTATTTTATTTGCATTAGAGGAGATGACTAAGTTCACCACCACAGCAATGTTCATCCTCTGCAGCCCCACAGACCTGTCAAGAAGTCTGGCAGCAGGAGATTCTTGTAACCTGACTGAGATAATTATGACCTAGGGCAGTCTTTCCATGAGATGAAGTAAATTATAGGAAAAAATAAAAGCGAGATTTTTTGAATTCTCAACTGAGATGGGGAATTGCAAGAAAATGGGACAGAGTTGACCTAAGGGACTCCACCTTCTCCTGAGGACAGCTTTAACTTCCTACAAAACAGTAGTTATGGTTGTCCAGGTCTGGCTCCAAAACTATATATTCCAAAGGTCTTCAGTTCTCAGTTGAAGCATATAATTCATATTCTTAAAGGAACACAAGCCCCTGTAAACTCATTTAAAAATGGTTATGCTGTACATTTCCCATTAAATCGGTAGGATCCACACTGTTAAAAGCAGTGAACTCTTATGAAAACATAAGGGGAAATTGCAACCCTGAAATCTATACCTAGAATTTCCAATTATATTTCTTCCCCGCCCCCCCCCCCCATTTATGTCTCTTTGACAGTCAATTGCTGACCTTTGTCTAAAGCTGAAAACAAGTAAGCCCCAAATCGTCTGGAACATGCAGAAACACCAGACTGTAAAATCTGATTTTAGAGTCACAAAGCTCACCTTAAAAACTGAGAAACAGATTAGATACTGTCTCTTTATTCTAACACTGCTTCCACTGTAGGGATGCCTGAGGGCATGTGGGTCATCCTTCTCCAGCACCTGCTTGAAATGGGCTTTCTGCTCTTACCCGGGGACTCTCTGAGGAAATGGATGTGCACACACTACACACGGCACTTGCTGATTAAGCTCCCAGATTGCTTTTACTTTAGATAGCAAGGTTTGATCCTGTTTCTATGGTGTTAATGTGGATTTAGATTTTGGATTTCAATGAGAGCAAGATCAGACTCCCTGCTATGGTAAGACTGGGAGCTAATCCCCAGGATCAAAATAAAGGAGCTACATTCCTGAGCTCAATCCAATTCAGCAGGTTTTATTTATTTTTCCATGTGGGCCATGGTGGACCCATTTACTGTTTCACATATGGGCCAGTTGGGATTTTTCCCTCTCTCCTCTTACAGCAGGGCAGAGGGTTTATTTCAGGCCTATAAAAACTGTTTCTTTCCATGTATTTGCTCAGCACTTATCTGCTGGTTCTCCAGTTCTGATTGAAGGCCTATGTGCTCTCAAAATACAAAGAACAATAGTCCAGGAACAACTACCAGCACAAGGGAACTAAAAAGCTCAAGATGTTTGGAGTCTTATTGCAGTAGCTTCCCTCGTTGAAACATTAGGCATCATTTCAGAAGACGTTGGTGCTGGGGTATGTGCTGACCTGCCTAATGACAAGAATCTGTGCAAAACCAAACAGATACTCTTTAAGAAATACCTGAACTAGATAAGTATGTGCTACTGAAAGCAGTGGTTATATATCTGCGCCCTAAAAGTCACATTGCAAAATCTGTATGGGGACATCCTTTCTGTCTTTGAGTCCTGCCTTCTCCAGTCTCACACTCTCCCACTCCTCTGTACCTCCATCCTTCTGTCCACTGGTCTTATGACTCAAGGCTGCCCCTTCATCTGAGAGCACCACTTCTTTGCATTGTTGAGTAAGTATTTCTAAGGTGTGGTAACCTGCTTTTGAGACAAACAGTGTGGCCTCAACTCATTTTAGTTACATACTTACTTCTTTCTACTTCTGGACACCTCTTCTAAAATTTGTATGCACTGGAGAAAATGTACAAAGACACACAGTAAGCAGCCCATCAAGAAAATGATCTCAAGGAAGTGTGGTGTGAAATAAATAATGAAATAGCCAATGTGCTTACACAGGAATTTCCCCAAGTACGACAAGAGAAATCAGGAGAGTAAAGAAGGAGGCTTCATACTACCTATAACAGCCCCAAGTAAACCAATCAAACTAAATGGATCTGTAGACTGAAATAGTTGGTGCTGAAGACCCAGCATCTACACTATACACATTGCAGGTGCTTCACTTTGGACTAACTCTAGTCTGATCCCATGGACTGCATATTCAGTAGGTGCTGGAGAACATTAGGTGCTTTTCTGGGGCACATCTTCCAGTTTAGCTTCATCCAAAAAAATCCAGTTTATGCCTTCCAAGACCACTCCATGATGTGAACTGATGAGCAGTATGTTAAGACCATGATGAAATTTGCTTCAAAAACCATACTCCTTATCCAAACCGGAATGCTAATGTATTGGCATTCTATCCCTACACACACACAATTTTCCTGCCAAACGAGTCCCAATTCCCTCTCCTGGCTCTACATACAGTTGGTTTTTCCCCTTCCTCTCCGAGTGTTTCTGACTCCATCTCCCACCCCAGATTCCTTATCTAATCTCAGTCTTCCACTCTTCCTTTTTTTCCTTGACCCAATGTATCTGTACAGCCAGTCCTAGGTCCTCCTCCCACCTTCTCACATCTGTGTTTCCTTCACTGTATGAACTAATGTCAATTTTTTCTGTTCAGCTAGTCTTGTCTTGTCTTTCCCTTTCCTCATATAATCTCATCACCGCAGTCGTAAGTCTGAAGCTCGGGAGATTCAGAAGCTCTCCACAAAATCTCTTCTGTAATGACTGAATGTGAGGCAGGAGGTATCATAGAGGTCATCCCACCGTACCCATTCTACACTGCAGCAAAGTAGAAAACAACAGCAACTTCAAAGACCCTTTTTAATAGCTTAGCTCTGGAAGAGCAACATGTTCATTTATTCTCAGGAGATTGCACACATATGATCTGTTTGCAGCTAGGACATGTAATAAGCTAGAGCACACTTAAAAGGACAGGTTTTCAGAAATGTCAGCTGTTAACATCCGAGAAGCCTTTACAGAGCCTGAAGGGTTTTGGGTTTTTTTTTTTTTGAAGGGTTGTAGTAAAATATGTGTTGATGTTCACAGATATTGCAAAAGACTTGTCCATGACCAGAAGACCATGGCCTGCCAAATTTCAAATCCCTGATCCGTGGTCAAGTCCAACAATGGGGGATGTTAAGATATATTAAAGAAAAGGTTTCAGGAATGTTTTGACAGTGGGAAACAACATGTTTTTCTCTGCTGTGTCCTTGGAATATCCTGAGTTGTTTTGGCTGTATTTTCTCCAAAACATTGAGCACCTGGCATGGGAAGTTTCTGACCCAGCTGTTGAATTTTGGCAAAAAAATCATTCATACAAAGTGAAGTATCAGGCAACCTTGACAATGGGGGCTACTAGCTCCGTGTATATTGATTTCAAAGAGGGAAAAAGACACAGGGTAGCAAGGTGTTACAAAACCGAGCCAGCTGATGATACTGAACAGGGAGTCTTGCAGAAGGCCTCTGCTTAGATAAATGACCAAAGTGAAATAAGGTTTTTGGATAAGTGTGCTTGGGGATGATGACATACAGACATGTGACAATAAGTGACCGATGGTAAATTACACAAGTGCCATAAGAAAAAATGCACGGCAGGAAGAAATTCAGTTACAAAGCTATTGACACTGAAACCTTTCAGCAAAAATTTAAGAAAGGTAAAACTTGCAAGTATCAACCAGTTTGAGAATCAAAGACAACCAGGTTAGGACAAGTCTGTGCCTTCAACTTCACTCCCTGTTAATTTCAGAACCAGCATCTTTTTTTCCTTGGTATCAGAACCAGAACACTTTCCTACCATTTCTTGCCAGTAATGGTGCAGAAAGCAGACATCAGGGCCCAATCCTACAATTTTTCCATGTGCACAAAGTGCAGTGCAGTTAATGGGAGTTCCATGCATATAGTACTAGAAACATCAGGCCCATGATATCTCATTTCCCAATGGGACGGTACATTTTACAACCTATTACACTTTTTGTTTGAATATCATTAGTCAAACCTTTAATCATTTTACCAGAACGTAAAATCTGGCTTGCTGGCAGAAGTCTAACTTACTTTGTCTTTCAAAGGCAATTAAGTGTTAGTGGAAAAAATAAAGACCGTTTGAAATGACAGTTCGTTTCATATTTGCAAAACAGTAAGCTTTCTTTCAGTGCTGTTTAGCTTTCCGATCAAAGGCATTCATTTTATGTAAAAACATATAAAAAGATAATAAAACAAAGTGAGTCCTTTATGAGAAATCATTTGCTATCAATGCCTAAATTTCTTTTTTTAAAACAAGGACCAAGATAACTAGGCACTTTTATTTTCCCTTATGTCTCCTTTTTTTTTTTTTTTCATAATAAAATCTTTGGCTCTTGCTTTCCTTCCAATTCTTTAATTTGCCTCATTGCACAATAAAATTTACATCCTGCTCACAACCTTACAAGCTCCCTCTTAAATACATGTCTGTCATGTGTCGATATTTTACTTCTCAACACTAGTTCTGAAAGCTTCCAAATGACTATTTGGAAGATCTTGTGTCTCCCTTCACTCACACATTAGCACAAAGAAAGCATGGCTTTATTTCCACATTTCATTCACACAGAGGTTGATTATATGGAACTGCTTTCACAGTGTTGGACAACTTGACCCAAAAAAGATTTTGGCACTATCACAATACCAAGAAAACCACCAAAAGTTCTGATTCTAGTAGCATGTGTACTGCTTTGTGAATGGCAATTCATTCATATAATCTAGCCTACTGCGGTGCAAGATAAAACCAAAACTTGACATAATTGACATGTTTCCCCAGAACAGTCTTTCTTCATCTTGAAAGAACTCCTCAAGAGCCACTGAATTATGACAGAGAAAACAGCGAACAATGGGTATTCTTCATAGCATGGTCAAGGCAATGGGAGACCTGCTACCAAGTGATGTCAACTGTAGCCAGCTCTTACCTGTGCCAGAATACCACAAGAGAAATTAATATTTTCTGTTGCAAAATGACAGTTTCGAGACCAGATCCCTTTTACCAATTTGTCCTTACCGTACTTACATACTAAGCAGCAACTAAATGCGAATCTTTTTATTTCACTTGTCATGAACTATCTAACCATATTTGCCAATCCAAAACGTTGGGTTTGGGTTGCCTTAGAACTAGCTAGGAATTGTCCTTCTCCAGGAGAATCTCTGTTACTGCAAAACTGGAACAGACAATGCAATTCTTTTCTGTTCCAGCTGACCTCCACATCAGAAAGGGGAAGAGATATTTTGTGTATATATATCCCTATATATCTATATCTACCTACATACAGACACACAAAACAAATACAACTTGGTAATACTACAAAAACATTATCCAGTCTTTACTGCTTCACAAGTGCTTGCTCTGTGCTGACCAGAAGCTCTGAGTATTTGATATGACAAAGTGAATAAAAAGTGGCCCTCCATGAAAACTCTTGTCCAGCTCATTGTAAACATTCAAGATATTTGCTCAGTGCTTCAGGGTGTAAAACTATATAACTACTGAGCTACATTCTCCCTTCCATGAAAAAGGTTTCTAGTAAAGGCAAGGCTAAGGCTGACACTGACAGCCCATCCAGCACGTAAAAAAAAGATCCTTGAATTGTGCAAAATTATTCTGTGACTTTAAAAGATGCTGCCACAAAAATATTCACTTTTTAATTTAGATGACCTTTGTTATACATATGTGTTGAATTACAGAAATTATGCACCTGCACAGTGGAAGATAACCTAACATGAAACCTTGTAAATCAATACAAGTAATCACACAGGAAGGTAACAAGCATTAAGATAACATACGTTGCACTTCAGGTTGCATCCACATTGAATCATACTGCAAGCAGTAGCATTAAAAAAAACCATGGAAATATTTGTGTGTACTGCAATAAGAATTAAGCATGATTCAATATACAACAGCTCTTTCAAAATCAGGGCACAAGTGAAATCTTTGCAGGCTGAACTACAACAGTACTAAAATATATGCAGCTGTCAAAGGCAGGTGCTTCATCCATTAAAAAAAAAAATACCCGCTTTCATTTGACCTTTGAGTACTGACTTTGCTCTAAGAGTACCAGATCATCACCCCTGCATCTTGTGGCTCTGCAGGAAGGTAATGAACTCTAAAGGCTCCATCTCCATGTGACAAATGCACATTGTGAGTTCAGAAACAGAAAAAATAGATGTGAGGCAACTATCTCACATGATAAACACATGGGACATACGGTATGAGGTTACAGGGAGCATCATCTGTGAGGGCGGAAAGCACAAGTGTCAGAGGTGAGCTTCTATGTGACAAACCTTGCCTGGATATCAAAATAGCCAGACTCTTAAGACTCCAGTAAAAAGTCTAATTCTGATACCCCTCCTCTCTTATATTTTCAATACTACTGAGATCTACAGAGTTACTTACAGTAAGATGCCAATTATTTTGAGAAAGAATGGTAAAATTTGATCCAAATACACACAAAAAGAACATATTATCCCCTTTCACCTTGTGCTTTTTGTACCATACAAGCAGTTAACTAGCCTCTGAAGTTCAACTGTCTTTAGACACTTTCAAAAAAAAAAAAAAAAAAAAAAAAAGCAAAGTTAAGTTGAAAACCAGGCACTTTCAACCACGGGCCACAATTTCCATAAAACCATCTATAAGATGTTTCCATGATTTAAAAACATTGCTGCAGCATCACATATATTGCAACATGAGGATACCCTCTAAAATAAGATGTGCATCTTGATGGTTATTCCTGATAGAATGAATTGAGTAGCTCTATAAAAAAATGCATATCTCAAATTCTTTCCTAGCTATACCCTAATGTGTGGTATCCCTCGTGGAATTTCAATAGACTAATCTAGCACAGACTTTAGAATAAGTAGCTTTGGAAAACTGCAAACAAGTATATAGTTAAAAGGTCAACACTCTGCAATATGTATGTTAATATACAAGCAGAAAACATAGTCAAGGATAAATTATCATAGGATCAATTTGCAACCTACTTTTTTCTGGTGAGACATGTGTCTTAGCTTGTCCCCTCACAAGCCTGCATGTTGAACCATCTCCTGCACAGATTCCACAGTTGTCTTCCTTGGCATTGCTCCCAAGTTGTCGATCACAGCCTACTGCCTGCCAACATCAACACCACAGTCAGAAGGAGGGCAAAGCTGTAGTAGACATGCTCAGGTTTCTGGAATTTTATTTATTATGTTATCCTTTTGATTTTATGAGCTGGCCTCATTCTATCAAAGCATATCTTGCTATTTAGGGTTTTAAAAGCACACTGTCATTTCCATGATTTTAATGATGAACCACAACAACTGATATATTAAGCTATTCAAGCATAGGAAATACATGAATCAGTTTCCCACTGCTTATGTGAATGAATACCATTGAGTGTTATTCTTTCCAACACAAGGAACAACTATGTTATTTAGAATTGTTTTTCATCACCTGTTTAATTATGTCTGAGAAAGGATTAATGCAATGAAATAATCCAAGTTAAATATTTAAAGGGCACTCAGGCTTCAGCTTCACAGGCAAGCAGCTGTGGGCAGTGCTCATAATCTAGTGTCTTGGCCATTCAAAATTTAATTTTGGCATTCGTGTAGATCTCCTATTTGCCATCTATATCAACGTCAAGCACATCTACATTTGCTGACCAGGTTTTAAAAAACTTGGATGATTCAGTTCTCACCTTTTGAATTTTTTTGTTTCTGAATATGAGACCCGATCTATAAAACTTGCCAATGATTATTATAAAAACACCCAAACTTAAACACTGCCAAAAATTCCAAAAGCAAAGTTTTTGAAAAACTGTCAACTGAAAACTCTCCAAACTATAATGAAAACATTTTTCCAGGTTTTCCTTTTCTTCATATCAGTCACCCTACAAGAAGCACGGGAGTGAGAATGGGAAGACGAAGAAGAATAGACAACATTGAAAGGGAGATAAATATTTGGTCTCACCTATCTTACCCTTCACCATGTCAAAGAGGAAATTTGCAGGGAGTACCAAATGCTGAGCAATGTGGTAAAAAAGCTAATCTGCAGCTTCAAGTTTTCTCAAGTCAGCCTATACGCCTCTTATATCCACACATCCCTGAGAAGGGCAGCTAATCCATCATGGACATATATCTATATAACCAAACTCTAAACTGACAAATGGATAGAAAGCACTCTGGAAATTCACAGTTAAAAGCAGTGCTAGAATTCTGAAATTGGCCAGCACACTCCTCTTCCTATATAAAAATGCTTTGGAAGGGGCAGGCTTAGCTGCCAAGATCCACTGCATCTGTGCTATGCCAAAACTGACACACAATCCCCTTGGAGAGGTGAGGATCGAGTCGACACATAAGAGGCAGGGTTGGGTCTTCCAGTCTCTGAGTTAACACACACACACGGGGGGACACACACCACACAAATCATCCGCGTCCGCTGCCAAACATGCAGAAATGTAATCTCGAAGTTTCATGTGGCTATAGAAAAGACAGCAAAGCAGCCCCACCTCCCACCTCCCACTCCTGCCCCTTTCCCTTATTTTCCCAATTCCCTACATCCTGCATTCTCTTAAGAGGAGGGCATTATGGAGGACAGTTTATGACACTTCAGTTGACAGACGTGCTGCACTGAGCGGCATCTCCTTACTAAAGGGTTCAGATTTGCCACTGAATTCTACATTAGCAGCAGGAAATCATTTTATTCCTGCAGCTGAAGGAGATCTTCATCTTATGTAGCCCAGCAAAGAATTCATTTTAAAAAGAAATAAGCAGCTTAACTAAAATGATTTAATGTTAGTGTTAAGTCTTAACAAAAACTTAGTTGTAAAAATGAAACAAATTAACACACGTGTGTGAAATCAAACCGTCTCAGAACGGATGCTTATTTACAACATAGAAGCTATGTGGGAACACTATAATATAATTTAGGATTGGACTAAAGTGTTTTCACTTGAAGATGTTTTTTGATGTTAGCTCTGGGTTCATCACTGACATCCAGAAAATAACAAAGATTGTAAACAAACTACTCTAAACAAGCTTATCTTCCCTTTTTATCACCAATTATCATTAAGAAATGCATGAAACCAACACCGTTTCAGAAACAGAAACTGACTGGGCCACTGGGTGAACCAGAAAGCAGACAAAATTTCAAGGGATATGATAGAGTGCTCAACACATTGGCCTTAGACTTGACAACTCTCTTTCAATTCTCAGCTCCACAACAGACTTTCTTTTTTGACCTTTGAAAACTTCCTGGGCTTTTCGATTCCAATCTGTGAAAGGGGTACAACTGCAATGCCCCTCGCCACAGGGCTGCTGCAAGAATAAATCTCCTAAAGATTCTGAAACGTTCAGATGGTGCAATGACGGGGACCATACCAGTAGTTGAGAGAGTCTATATTTCTCTCAGGTAGACTTTTAAAGTATTTATTGCTCTCCACTGCTTCTCTCATTCACATAAAGATACTACTAGCACATGGATGTAACTTGTCAGAACTACTGCAAGTGCAATCTCTCCCCAGATCTCACACATTTCCATTTCACAGTGTAATCTCATTTTCTAAATATTAAGAATCTGTTTATTCACTCATCAATTAATTCTCAAAGGAAAAGGTAAGCTGCACATTGTGATACTCTGCCTGAGAAATTGCTATTTTTATTAGTTTAAGCTGTTGTATATTTGTAGGCTACAGATCCTGCAAGCCTTTGGCGAGAGGAGGGTATTGAGCAAGCAGAGTACTTGCAATTCCAGCCCATTAAAGCCCAACATGATAACAATAAACATGCATACTGAGCTATTACACACAGTCACTATGAAAACAAACTCTCATTGCACATAACAAAAGTTATACAACTGTGCAAACACAAGGCACTATTGTGTCCAACATGGAATGTAAGAAAAAAGATAACCAGCACAGCAGCATACTTTAGAGGACTGTTTCATATAGTATTATTGCTTATTTTTTAATAATACACAAATGCCACAGAAATAAAACAGGAGTGCTAGCTGCAAGGGACTTGGATGTGGGAAAAGCTTTACAGGTCTCCTGCCAGCAAAGGTGGTATGTTCAGCTACATTCACCCTCTGTGGACTTCCTTCGAGATTATGTTTATATCAACTGTTATGAATATGAGTATCAAGCAATGATATCCTGGAACACAATTCAGAAAATAACTCAAATTAGTATTACAATTTAGGCCTGAAACGAGCACAGAATTTCAGATTTTTTTTAACATGAAGCACCCAAAAATTCTGCAGATTTTATTGTGACAAGCATCAAATTTAGAGCTAATTCAGCAAGTGTTGCTTCCCTGGCATCTTAATGAGTGAACACCAGGGTGGGGGGATCAACACCAGGGTGGGGTGTATTTCAAACTTGAGTGTCTAGAGTTAGCCTTTTTTATCTGTTTGTAAAACCTTGATAGGAAGCAGTATTTCTTAGACAAGCTGGACAGCCACGAATCTCACCAAAATAATAGGAAGCTGCAAGGTATAGCTTTGGAAATCAGGCCTTGAACACATATGGTATTTTGGCACCAAACATTATGAATTTAAGGTCTTCATAATTTAGCCAATAACTATTAGAAAAGCACGGTGTTTGATGAAACATTTTGAAGAGAGTACATGTGTATTTGCAAGCAAAGCTGCAACAAGGACAAGAAAATGATATATGGCAACAGCCTTCCTCAGCTCACACACCACCTCAGCAAGCCAAAGAGGTCTGATGATTTTCACAATTAAGGCGTTTGTTAGGGTTCATTTACCCCACATTGCTCGCTGTTTACAGAGCAAAGGGATCAGCTATAAATATTACAGGCAGATTGGGAAAACATCTGCAGGCTTTTAGGGCATAGTCAGAAATAATTATATTAGGTGATTTTAACATAGGCTGCATAAATGAAACAAGTGATAACACAAACTGTGTAATGGAAGGATTGGGACCATGTCAATCTAAGAAATCTGCAATCATAAATACCACCATTCAAAAAAATTATACAAGTACTGTAATGACTAGGTTGTAAGTGAGCAGGGAGAATATTGACCAATATATAACAAAATGAACAATAAGCAGAAATTTAATAAAAAATGGTATTGAGGAAATGGGTACTTTATGCATTTAACAAATTGTCCATGATGGGGTATCTATGAATTTGGATATGATGGGATTATTTTCAGAAACAGTTGTCTGATCCATTACTATTTTCGGACAGAACCTGAATATGTTATTTGTCTGTGTTCTTCCAAAGAAAAAAATAGAAATATTAAAAAAAAAAAAAATACTGTTTTGTCACAAGCGGCTAGGATAGAAAGCATCTGATTAAGCAGTGAACCGAAATGCTCATCTGCTTCAACAAACTTCTAAACTAAATGTTAGTATGCCAGTGCTATTGTGAAAGACAATACTGAAGGGTGTTAAATATTTTGTAGCATGCTTAGAATAGTTCATGTAGGTTCAGAAAGGCAAAGGAAGAGCAAAAGGTCAGGGTATAAAATATAGTAATACAGATGTAAGAGAAAAATGAAATTGCTGCTGATAGGTTAGAGGTGACTATAGAACATTACAAATATTTTTGCAAATATGAATCCAAAAATCACTCAGAAGCTCCCACAGCTGTTTCTTTAGCTCTTATTCACTTAGTAGAGTTTCAGCTGAGGAATTAGACTTAAACGAAGAAATTAATACAGAATGTTAATTTCAATTTGTGAAAGTCAAGTATAATCTGTTAAATTCAAGGATCTTCCTTTCTTAAGGAGATGTTTATAATTAGCTATGGTGAGAAAATAGACAGGACTGCAAGGTGACAGATTTTTAACTAAGATTCCAATATGGCAAAAAAGCACTGTAGTGAAAAACCTGGCAAATCCCAAACCCCCTTCAGAGTCTTCTCTTAATAAACATAAATGCAAACATGGACTAGAATTGCCAATGCAGAGCCTAATGCAGGATCAGGTTTTGAAATTTCAACTTTTGCTTGTTAGACCATTGCTTTAGACCTCTTTAACTGTGTTGTTCCCTCAGCTGACAACTCACCTCCAGCTGCAGTCACTCTTTTTCAAAATAGGCACAACACCATTTTTTGTAGAACACATTCCACAGAGGTTAGTTGTTGATTATAAAAATGTTATGT